AAAATTGTATCAAAATGTTGGAAAAAAATACTCAAAATTTTCCCAGTAAATTCGGTTTTTATCGAATGAAACTTGGCAACGCCTGAAGGCTCATACGGCGTTCTTCCTTAGCACGGCAGTAATATGCACCACTCCTCTCTGCGATTAGCACCTTTCATCGGTAATCCCTAACGATGAGCGATGATGATGATTGGGAAACACATATCTCGTTTCGCTGCGTTTACTATCACTTTCCGTTGGTGAAATTGAGGATTACGACTGTCCCACATATGAGGCTACTACTTCCAAAGTGTAGGTATACTATGCCCATGAAAGTGGTGTGTCACCAAAACGCAAAAAACTGTTTTGAGTTTACTGCGTTTCGCTGCGAAGTACCTTTTTAATACTGCTAATTAAAAAGGATTTTGACTATATGTTTTGGCACACAATTAAACTATTTTCCGATTCTCCTCTATTGGGTGTTCAAGAATGCACTCCTACCTCAGTTTCGACCAAAATGGTCATTGTACAATTCGGAACTAGTAGCCTCATATGTGGTTGCGTATAGACATCTACTATATTATTATTAGACTTAAGGAAACGTTTTTATATCGGAGAAATATCGCCAAAATTGTACCCAGGACTTTGGGAAATTATGATTTGCATTTAGAGAATGTAGAACTGTTCAATGTTTCATTTCCGCCGATTATTCTTCTTTTTTAAATGAACTTTCATTTTCATTTCTTAAAAAATTATTCAGTCCCGTGTTACCTCGTGCAAGTCTAAAATGAGCCAGTTGCTTCATTTTCATCTGTGTTCTAAGGTATTCCAATTATCGAGGTAACTTGGGACTGACAAGAATAATTGAAAAAAAATCGGGGAGATGGGGGATGACATCATATTTTTGACCAGAAAATCCAATTTGCGTTACAGCAAACTACCTGGTGCCAAAAAAAGATCGTCAAAAATGTTTAGTCTAATTGGGAGAGGTTTATTTGTGCTAAACTCGTCTCCAATAATCCCGTTTAACGACAGCTGGAAAAGCCCAAGATGTTTCCCTTAAATTTTTATAAATTTTCTCAACGAGGCTCCTTGAAATGTTCTCTCAAGAAAATGCGTTGTATCATACACCAACACCAACAGTAACACGTTAAAAAAATTGTCGTTGGCTAATAGCTGCCAAAAAATTGGAAATCCAACCCTGGCTTTGACCGAATTACTCACAGCTAAACCCAGGAACCGCATTCTCAAGAATGTTTATATTAGAGGAGCAAAAATATAATTTTCCTCTTCTCTTAAATTACATATAGTCGATCTAGGCGACAGGAATGACCAAAAAATGTCAAAAGGCTCATGATCGTAAGAATGGACTTTCACCTTCTGAAACATTTTGAAAGCTGCATTATAAAAATATCGCTTACTGAGGAAATGACCATGCTCGGATTTTTGGCTTTTTCGAATCATTGCAGCACCACCGCCAGATAATTGATTACATTTGATGTAAACGAGCGCTAACGCTAATAATTCCATAGCGCAGAGACATTATGCAACTATTCGGACTCTAAAATCATGGAAGCATCTTTTCTCGTTGAAGTCGTTTTCCATGCGCCGAAACTCTTCATCTAGCAGATGAAGCAATAGTATTTTTCAGTATTACTCAGAACGGTATCTGCAACTCTGTTGATTGGGTTTTTGAAATATGCAACTATTCGACCTCTAAGGCCACGCTGGAAAGTATCTTTCCTGTTGAAGGCGTTTTTTATGCTTCGACACTTCGCATCTTGCAAATGAAACAACTACACCACTCGCTGATCCACGCTGCTGCACTGTTGATCGGGTTTTTAAAGGATGCAACTATTCGGCCTCCAAAGTCACGCTAGGAAGTATCTTTCCTCGTTGAAGGCGTTTTTAGAGCGTCGACGCTTCGAATCTAGCAGATGAAGCAACTGCAATGTTTTCTCGCTAATTTACGCTGCTACTGTTGATTGGGTTTTTATAGGATGCAACAATTCGGTCTATGAGATCATATTAAGAAGTATCGTTTCTCGTTGAAGCCCTCACGTAAATCGTGTTCTTTGTGAAATTTTAAAGGAGAGACATACAATGGGAATGCATATAAATTCGTATCTTGTCTTCCAAGAGCATTCCAATGTCGCTAACCTTGCAAACATAAACGATCATCTAAACTAGTTTCACCTCTATTCCCAATAAACTATGAATTCAAGATGAAAATTACCGTCTCAAAGTTTACTTTTTGCAAAGAATGTACCTAAATTGCACAATCCTAGCAACATTGAAATGATCTTAGTTCCTTTTTGCAAAATGCGATCCAATTGGTTGTTGCTGCAAAAAAATAGTTTCCCACAACCTGCTATACAATGCTCCAGTGACCATGTAAGTTGGCCCGAGCACTAACTTTTCGGGAAGCCTTTCCCCTACCTGGTTTCTCACTTAATATCCGCCCGAGTTTCGCATATCTTCCGTTTCTCCTCATCGCAGCTTCCATCAAACCGCAATTGCCCGGAAACTAGGACCGCACATCTTATCTGATAAAATCGTTCGCCCTTTAGACCGGGGGGGGGGGGGGTTAGGCTAGACCAGTCGATGAGTCAACTGCTGATCTAATTTCATTACGTGAACGTAGAAGAAAAACGCGGTAAATAATCACTAATGTGTGATCAATTTTCAAGGACAATTCTGTAATTTCTCCTACGATTTTAAATAGATAAAACGCGTAATATCCAAAATCTAAGCTCAGATTCGGATTCCTCGTGAAAAACTGATGCGATTTCATGCATCAAATTTTAGAATAGCGTGAAGGAAAGAGGTTTAATGACGTAAAAAAACACTAATGTGTAATCAATTTTCAAGGACAATTCTGTAAATTCTCTTACGATTTTAAATAGATTAAAACGTGTAATATCGAAAATTTAAGCTCAGATTCGGATTCCTCGTGAAAAATTGATGAGATTTCATGTATCATATGTTAAAATAGCGTGAAGGAAAAAGATTTAACGACGCGTATAGATTCTGTCATACTAGCCGTTTGAACTACGCCGGCGCGCCGCGCCGGTCGCCCGAGATGCAACCGAACGGTGGCGCTTGGGTGGCGCTAAGCAATCGGTTTCGTCGCGAGGAATTCCTCACGATAAATTCTTATTCTTCCTCCTCCGCTGACCCACTGAGCACTACCCATGTTGCCACGTTGGATTCATATGCTCGAATCAGTATGTCTACGTTAATGTTACGTCTCTTTCCTTCACGCTATGCTCGGTTATGATACATGAAATTGTATCAATTTTTAACGAGGAATCCGAATCTGACCTTCGATTTTTGGTATCACGCGTTTTAAGTCAATTTTTTTAAATTCAAAAATTAGAAATGACGGACGTGGCATAAAATGCTATCTCAGCTCCTGTTCGATGGATTTTTGTGAAACTCGGTGTCATGGTATGATACATGAAATCCCATCAATTTTTTACGAGGAATCCGAATCTGAGCTTCGATTTTGGGTATCACGCGTTTTAAGTTAGATTTTCCAAATTAAAAAATCCGAAATGACGGACGTAGCTTAAAATGCTATCTCGGCTCCTGTTCGATGGATTTTTCTGAAATTCGGTGTCAGGGTATGATACATGAAATCGCATCGATTTTTTACGAGGAATCCGAATCTGAGCTTCGATTTTGGGGATCGCGCGTTTTAAATCAAAATCTGTCAAAATTCAAAAAATTCAAAATTCGAAAATCCGAAATGGCTTAAAAGCTATCTCGGCCCCTGTTCGATGGATTTATGGCGCCCCCTTACTACATGCCTACTCTTGTATTTCTGTACAGCCGCAAATTTAGGGTCAAGGGGCGCCTGACCGTCTATGAACCAGGTGGAGTTTTTGTTCTGAAAATTTACCTTTAGACGGCAATTCTCTGTATATTTTATCTATGGTTTTTATGCCCCCCCCCCTTTCTCGCGGACTCTCTTTTTACTTTTCTTGCCTCCTTTTTCCTTCCATTTCCCCCCTTCTTCCATACTTTCACTGTCCAACCTTGTTTCCTGTTCCTTTTTTCCCCTTGTCCTTTCTTCCCTTTTTTTCCTTTTCCTTTTCCTCCCTTTTTTTCCCCTCTCTTCTTCTTTCGTGGCGCCCCCCAAAGGCTGGCGCCCGTGTGCGCCACACGCCCTGCACACGCCCTAAGTCCGGGCCTGCTTATCCATTCAAAATGTGGGGAAGTAAAATGAAAATCTCGTAAAAATTGCCTCAAATTGCTGCCAAAGAGAAGCAATTTCAAAATATTCTCGAGGAGGCCCCCGACCCCTTCTCATCGGAGGGATGTTCCATACTTCCCAGACCCCGCGGTGATGGGGAATGAGTAAATTAAGAGCAAGAGGAAAGCTCCAATAATTTCAATAAGCTCTTGGGAGAGATAGGAACCACTTCCATGGCATATGTACTCGTTTTAACTGCTTGCATTGACAACGGCCACTCTATTTATGCGCGATAGAAGGAAACTTAATTGAATCGGGGTCTGCTGCTTGTTTTTGCGGACCATGCAATAAAAATAGTTTGGATATGAAGAGATCATGAATTTTTCGACTGGTTAACTCATAGGCGGATCCATTCATCTCGGACCGTGGGGAGGGGGGGGGTAAGGAGGGCCTCCCCCAAAAAAATTTTGAATTTTTGAAGCATCTAATATGCAGTTTGAGACGATTTCGTCATTAATGTAAAAATTTAAAAATGTCAAAATGTCAAATGTCATTAATGTAAAATGTCATTAAATGTGTGCGTATTTCATTCTTCTCTCCTCCGCTTCTTCTTTCTTCCCTCTCGTTTTCTTCCTCCTTTATTTCGAGCAAACAGGGGGGGGGGGGGGCTACGCCCCTCCCCTGCATCTTACGTCGCGTCGATGGTGGTTTCGAATGAAGTTAAATTTCCCGCCAGATTGTTTTTCGTAATCGGCAAGGAATCGACAAGGATCACACGTAAAATGGAAACCGGAGGAATTGCGGGATGGACCGGAATGGTAAACAAAAGATTCTAACGGCACACCTTCATCAACACAATACAATCAATGCTCTCTGTTCTTTTCTTTCTCATCGATTGAATTAAAATTTGTTTTTCTCCAATGATCGGAAAGTTATTTAAATTCTCCATGTTCACGTGGTTAAAGTTCTCATAAGTGTCCATCCAGTTGTTCGATAAAATGCTGAAGTTCATAACTAAGGGGAAAGCTCCTCAGCCCACTGCTGAGCAGCAGAGACTCCAAAAGGATTTATTTGCCTATAGAAAAGTACGTAGCCTCTGGCGTTTTCTTTTGTTCTGAACTATTCTTCGTTATATTAGTATCTTCCAAATGCATCTCTATAATAAGATTATTTGCCTTAATCCTCAAAATTCCAACCTCAGGGTACGGTGAGCTACCGTTGCCTTTCACGTTTCAAGACTCGTAAGCTTTGTTTTGTTTACTCAGCGAGCATGTATTTCAGTTGTTCCTGTATCTCAAACCAGCTTGCAGAATTCATGTTTTTAAAATCGGAAGGTCTGCAATCTCCAAAATTGTTAACGGCACTGAAGTGTTCTCTATGGCTCTCATGTAAACAAATCAGGCGAATAGTGAAAGGAAGCTAATGTTTATGCTGTTCACCATCATTTAGATAAAGGCGGAGAATCTATCCCTTTCAATTTAGTTGTAAAACTCGCTGAGGATTGAGATGGTGGATCCCAACTTGCTCTTACCAAGTTGGCCGGTAAAATTCACAGGCATTCAGCTCTATAAGAAAGAAGCCATTCAGTTTCGTTTAACTGTTTGAGACAAGTACTTAGGTGGCACTTGCTTTTCTAGAATTATTGTAGCATGTAAACTTTCAATTAATGTGTTGAATCTTCTTTTGACTTTGCTGCAACGCAGGAGAATTTAGTTTTTCGAGCTTCAATTGAATGTGGAATGTTCCTCCAGAAGGGGTCTCTCTTCCGGTCATCTCAATAATATCGAAATATGTTTCTAGCGTGTCAAGACTTTCACAGTTTTCAACCGAATATTCTTTTCCGCAAAGGAAATAGTTGAGGTTTAAGTGATGGTCCCAAGTGGAATGGAAACTTTTCATCGTTATGATCCAAACAAGTTTGCTAGCCTGCTTTGTTCGGTGGTGAACAACTAGCGCATAATTTGAGGGGCCCAATACCTGACGGAGAATTCTAGAGTTCTCTTCCGCCAAAATAGGGTGCAAGCATACAATTCACATTCAGATTCCTAATCAAAATTGCCTCACTGTAAATGTATAGTGAGCTCCACCTCGGGACACTGAATAGAGTAGAAATAAGTAGTAAGAAGGAAAACTAAATTAAAAATGAAGTTATTGACTGTGTAACCATATAGTCAATTCCCTTGCTTACAAGATTTTCTCCTCTCACAATCAAATTATCCAAAACAATAGCTTTTTTAAAATTTTACATTCTTTCAATAACTATAGCAGAAGCACAATAAACCATTGAACCTACGTAGCTAACATATTAAATTTATCTATCTGCTCCCTCTCCTGCTCTAAGGGTTATCAGGACTAATTTTAAACTATACTATGTTTGAAAGCTCCGGTTTTTTTTTTTTTTTTTTTTTGCACTTGAAGAGTTTTTGCAAGTGTAGTTCAATTTCTCAAGTTAGTGACAAGTTGAAACCCAAATTTTAAAAATTTTGTCAGCTCCAGCTTTACGAAATCCACAGTTTTATTCTTAGCTACTTTTTGTCAAAAATAGTCACATTTGTTATTTATCACTACTACTTAAAGTTCATTTACGTACAAAGCACAGAGAGAGCAAAGGTTTTATTCATCACATGCCAACGACATAATTGTCTTACTATCAAAAATCTCCTATCAAAGTTGATTATCAAACGTTTCAAATGAAAGAAATTTTCCACAGTGATTGCGCCAACAGATGATTCAAAGTTTAAAGAATGGGAAGTTATTGTGTTCTTACCTCTTAAATTGTGGAAGTAGCTAGTCTCTCTGCATTTAACAAGGTAACAGAGAATTTGCATACAAATTTTTAATTGCTTCATCTGAAAGTGCTTAAAGAGCTGATTTCACAGTATTTTTTACAATTCTTTTCCAATATGGGAACTAGTATAAAAATAGATTTAAAAGTGAGAAAATGCACGCCTAGTGACGTCATCTGGCGGTATTTCCCATTTAAACCAACGTATTTTAGCAGATTAGATCATTATGTTATATCTTCTCCAATAATTGTTCAATTTATGAATCAAGGGTATCCTCGTGTTTAATTCACTCAGTAGTTTCCACTTAACACGAAATTTATCAAACTTCAGACACCAGCAAATTCTCTATTATTTGAAAAATTTTAGGAATTTTTTCCAAGTTCAACAATGGACAGCTGTTTATAATCTACATAGATCTGTTATTTTTTACATTGCGTGTTCATTTTATTGTTCCAGACCATTCAGCATGGATTTCCAAATAAACCCACTGGACTAGCTTGGGATCCTGGCCTTAGTTTAGTAGCTATTGGAACAACAACTGGAGCGATCAAAGTGTATCCTTTTTCAATTTTAAGCCCCTGGATCAATTGATTCTTCATTCTGTCTGAATCTCCCTGAAAATTATTTTTCACTGAGAGTTGTATTTCTCAGACAGACGCCTTTGACGGAAAAACATTCGGAAATCAAATGCAGCATCTATTTTTGTTGTCCTTTTCCTAGTTTATATTAAAAATCGATCAATGAGAAGTCTCAGGAGCAGAAAAAGTTTCCAAACACTGAACGTCGCTTGTGAACTAGCAATTTTACATATCGACCAAATTTTTAATTTGCCTCTCAAATAATTTTTCACTTGCAAAGCGAAGTGTCCGATTTTGCAACAAAATTTGCAAACAATCTCAATTTTTCAAGTTGAAGAGTACAGAAGTAAGAAGAAAATAGCAGCATCACTTGGAAAGTTCCCTCACAGCACAAGATTTACCCCTGTTTCCTGTGACCTGACGGTTGCAAAACCAGGCATAATTTTCACCCCTAAGAAGTCACTTTTGAGCATGAGCAGGAATTGACTGGGTTCTTCCTCTGCAAGAATTCACTTGCGAAAGACCAATGTTTGTTAAACAAATTTTGTCTTTCCCACTAACATTTCACAATCGATATTGATTCTCACACGCTGGGAATAGCATCAAGTTAACCATCTTCTCTCTGACAATGCTTTAACTTCATAATAAATTCTCCAAGGCTTCTTTAGGCTCAGTGGAGGAAATGTATTAAACCTATGATACAATGAAACAAAGAGATATTCATTCTTATTTACCTTAACCTTTGAATTCAGTCTAGGAAAACCAGGAGTTGAATTTTATGGTCATCATCCCAGCTCTGACCATGCTGTCACAAAATTAGTGTTTATACCTAATGAGGTAATCAGATGAGTAAACTCTTTTAAATTATTCTCGAAAAAGTTTTAATTGTAGTTTTATTATTTCCCCCTCCTGAACAGGAAACCGTTTGGTTTTCTTCTGGTTTACCAATCAGTTCTAGATAATTTCGTAAGATTGTAAGCTCTTCCCTGGTCCGCAGTACATTTTTCTACTAAGAAATTCGAGCCACTATCAATCCATACCAGCACTTGGTGCTGAGCCATGTTTATTTTTGTGTTTCTCTTGATTCGGAACAAAAATTCAAAGAAAGTGAGGGAGACGGAAAATCCAAGAGGGAGTAAAAATCAAAAAAAGCTGGGGAGGAAGAAGAGAAAATTTTACAAGACACCTTGTTTCTATACTTATTACTTTTCATGTCAGTTAGACCAGCATCGTTATGCTTCGATTTGCTCTGCCGTTTGCTTTACTAACTAGGTATATTCAAATCTTGTTGTATAATGAAGAGAATTCTAATTTATTTTTTTTACAATCTCTGCCTTTCAGGGTCGCTTGGTTTCTTTGTGTGATGACAATTCTCTGCATTTGTGGGAAATAAATAAAACACTTTTGGTGGAAGTTAAAGCACAAGTGTTGGAAGGAAAGTAAGTAATTTTTACCCATGGATAAGCTTTTTTGTCCTTCACATTTTCATTTGTATTACCTCTGCAACTCTTTTCAAGTTCCTTCACATATTTTATGGAAAGAATATGAGAAAAAAGAGAAAACTTACGAAATCTAATCATTGATTAAGTATTAACTGCTCATTAAAAGTTAATTTTCCAGTTCATTCTATTTCTTTTCCTATTCATAGTGGCTGCATAATCAGTCAAAACGTTTCAGGGTTTTTTTTACCTTTTTTTTAGACTTAATTTCTGCTTCTTAGCACTGTTTTTCATCCCTCATTTTTTTAAGTATAATTATATAAAATACATTATGAGTAGAAAAATTCCTAATCCGGAGTAAGTACAATAATAATATATGATGCTTTGTTACTTTTTTTCCAGATTAAAGAAAGTTTCAGCCATAATTGTCCAGTCCACGAAAGAACATGTCTTACTGGGGACAGAAGGAGGAAATATTTATCTTCTCAAACTTCCTTCGTTTGAAGTATCAGACACAGTCATTTTTCAGGATGTTGTTGTCCAGAAGTAAGTTTTTTTTTTTTTCTAAGGCTAAGTACGATCTTTGCTTTTTTTCTCACTGAATGATTTAAATGTAATCTTGCCAAAATTGACTCTATTAGATTAGTATCTCTTTCAAGAGATGACAGCCTACTTTTTATGATCACATCAGATAGTTTTTTCAAGGCGCTAAGTGCAAGAAAGGTACTTCTTGGATGCAGTGCTTCAGAATCTCAATTGCTAATTTATGTCTTTGATAGGGATCTAATGGGTTATTTGTCTGAAATTTTTCCTATGGAAAATTTTAAAATCATAAAGAGTATTTAGTAAAAGTATCAATGGAATGCATATATTCACTTTTCTCACATTGAATAAAATATCTTCGAATATTGTGGAAAGTGCCCTTTTTGCACCCAATCCCAGGGGAAAAATATTTTCCTGAATAGTTTGATTCCCTATTGGAAAAAAACCCACAGCCAAAAAATTTCAGACGATAGGCTCTTGGTTATCGTATTATTTTATATCAGCCAATCCTGCTATTAATTTTCAAGAACATTTCAAATTGGTGTGGGAAGTGCTTTCACTTATTCTAACATCCATGAATTCTCGTTTACAGTGTTGCAGAGACTTACAAAATCAACCCAGGAGCTGTTGAGGCAATTGCGGAACAGCCTGGCGACCCAGATACCATATTGATTGGTTACAACCGAGGTCTAATGGTGTTATGGAACCTGAAAGAGGCAGCTCCTGTCAAGGTCAGCTACTTTCAATGCATCCTGATTTTTCAAGATAAAATTTTGTAGGAAAGAATGCATTCCATATGCAGCAAATATGAAAGCAAAATTGGGTTGTGTTTGATGTTTTCTTTAAATGAAAAGCGTGTTAAGCATAATAGATCCTTGCCTTTGAAAACTGTAATGCCAAATGATTGTTTGTGTAATTAAAATAGTAAATTACATGATTTGAATGCGACCTGTGTATATTTTTTTAAAGTATACAGATGGTTTTAGAAAACAGGATGACCAAAAACTGAAGGCTTTCACGGATCTCTGCAAGTTATGAATATTCATGTGTCAACTTTATGTTATCCTGCATCTACAGTAAGACCTCGAAATATCGGATTGCGATTTAACGGATCGATTCTCCGGTCCCTTTAGCAGGACCCACTAGCGCAATTTAACGGATTCGCCCTCCGGTCCCGTGAAATCGGATGAATCGAGGTCTTACTGCAGTTATGAAAAAATAATAATTCTTTGGTCAATGGCCATATCGTACCAAAAAAATGCATCAGAATTGATTAGCTCTCAATTTAAATCATCGTAAATTTCCACTCCACTCTAAATTTAATTTAATGAAATCTGAATCTATAAATTTCAGTCATTTATCTGTAATCAAGACTTGGAGAGTATTTGTTGGCATGAATCTGGAAAACAATTTATATCCTCTCACAATGATGGCAGCTACGCTCAATGGGATGTGGACTCCACGGAAGGACCAATTGAGCAACCAACAACAGTGTATGGACCGTTCCCATGCAAAGCTATTCCTAAGATTTTGTGGAAGTCAGCATTTCAAGAGCCGCAGTAAGTCTGAATGATTACCCTCAGTACTATGTATTTTTATCATGTTATATGAATGTGTGGTGGATTGGTTTCTCTCATTAATGTCATTTCTCTTTTACAAGTCAATATATGTAATATCTGCTAGGAGTGCAGAAAATTCTCGGTGTGTACTTTTGTGAAGGAAACCCTAAAATGTGTGGTTTTTTGAGAAAAAAACTACCAAGCACAACACCTTTGGCGGAAAAAACTGTGTGATGAGTTCGTTATACATTTTGTTTTTATGACAAGATGTATGTAATAAAGCTTTAATGATGACTACCAAGTCTGAAAGTCTACAGCAATAAAATAAGTTTTAAATTACATCGTTTTGGTTTATTTAATCGCTAATTATTCTTATGTAGATAGCAATGTGAAGGCTGCCTTAAAAATGGTGAAGTGAAAGTACTTTTGTGTGGGCAACATTGTGAAGGCAAAGAACTTTCAGCAATCCTGATACCATTCCTGAAATTTTACTCAGCAGTCAGCAGCCATGTGAAGCAGTTTTCTCTGCTGATTGTTTTGCCAAAAAAAGTGTCAATAAAATTCAATTTTTCATACTTGTGAGATACTTTCTTAGCTGTGTTATGATTTTTTTTCAGTGATGACATGTTAATATTTAGTGGTGGAATGCCTAGAGCCAGCTATAGTGATCGGTACACCATCACAGTTCAAAGGGGAACAAAGAAACATGTCACTTTTGACTTTACCTCGAAAATTGTAGATTTTTTTACAATCGATGCAACGGATGATGAAAAAGGTATTCAAATTCATTTTACAATTTTTGTTTAAACTAGACGAAGCTTGTGGAATCATAAGTATTTTTCACAAGCTTTAGCCAGTAAACATTTTGATCAATCAGTGAAACAGATTTACCGGGGGACTACAGGTTTAGAAAACCGTGAAGATCAGGAATCGTCAGGGAATTTCATTGTGCCAATGAAATCAGGGAAAGGTAGGGGAAATTAAGGTAAAGACTGAAAATTTTAAAAATCTTGAAACTTTACCACAAAAGTATAGAATAATACCATTATTTGCGCCAGGGACCATAATTTTTAGGCACCATTTATTATTGTTCAGGACTCATCAAGATTTTGTATGATGACGAAGGAAATTTTGCAAGGAGCAGGGTTAAAACTGACATCCAGGCTGCACAAATTTTCTGAGTGCCACATTTGGTGAAGTACCTCTCATTTTTAGACGCAAGTAGCGCGAGGAAAACTTTAAGCAGCCAAATAGTCCTTATCCCTGGTACAAAATTGTCAAGATTTGACAAATTTCAGTTCACTATGTACATTTCTGAGATCTAGTAAGCAATCTGGGTTTGGGAATGTGAAAGGTTCGTCAGATGGTAGTCTTTTTTGGAAATATTTCCAAAACTATCATAGCCTTGCAGGTTAATCATTGATTTTAATCGAAGAGGTATTTGACTATCTAAAGTTTCTGAACCTAAGTAGGTATAATAGAACAACCCTAGTCCTCCTAAGAAAAATACATCTGTATTTTTTTTTTGTTTTTAAAGGTGTCACAACATTGATAGCTCTGGCGGAAGAAGAGATTGTTGGTATCGACTTAACCAAGGAAGATTGGCCCATGTTAAATCTCCCTTACCTTGTTTCTCTCCATGCTAGTGCTGTTATATTCTCTACTTACCTATCTGATGTTCCTCAGTCATTGTGGAATGACATCATTAGTGTCGGGAAAGTGCAAACAGAAGGACTCTACTCAGATTCTGTAAGTTTATTTATATATTGTGTACTCTTCATCCCACACCTTTCCTGAGAAAAGTCTCGCAGTTGGAATTTTTATTCAAAGTCTAATCCATCTACCACTCGGAATTTACCTTTGAATGTCGTAAAAATTGGTTTCTCTAATAACCAAACAACCAATCAAAAATGAGAACCATTCCTAGAGTACATGGAGTCGTAATGTAAGTGAGAGAGCTGGCGCTACTTTTAAGCATTTTCCAGGTCCCAAATTCGGAGACTCCTGTGTGAAGCCGGGTCACTTTTTTGATACATGATCAATAGTTTCCGGTACACAGTTACCGGCCATCCGATGTAAACAAAGGAGATAGGAATTACCACATATTCCATACCGCCATTTTGGATCGAACATGTATCGAAAAAGTGACCGAAGCTCGCCGCACGCCAGGCTCGGAACTCGTCAACCAGAACATGGCACCAGCTCTCCCATTCACATTACAACTCTCTGTCCTCAATGAAACCATTTCAGAAGTCATTCTTTTTTCCTTAGGTAGTTTTTTTTCAACTTCAATCTTTCATTCAGCAAGAAACTCAGATGGCCACAAGAAGTGTTGATTTTAGATCATTCAGCTTTGAAACCTTTTTTTTACATAATTTTTTCTTCTTTTTTTACCAATATTCAAGTAGCTTTTAGGGTTAATCCTTCGCTTGATGCCCAAGTTCCCTTACATCCAGCTCTAGGTGACCTTTGCCTGAGACCATCAAATGCTAGACTCAAACCATCTAGTGAAGAATTGAACCTGAGACCTCGTAGTCCTATGGCCAGCGCCACAACTCTTACACCATAGGAGTCTTTCATTATCGGTTGATTTTTTTCAGGAGTGGCCCATCAAAGGTGGTGTAATAGAAGAAGAAAAAGGTGGCGTCTCTCATCGAGATCTCCTTCTAACCGGACATGAAGATGGCTCTGTCAGATTCTGGGATGCTGGTGGAGTTGCTCTTGTGCCCTTGTACACATATAAATCATCCCAGTTATTACGCAGTGAGGAAGATGTTGTTTCCATGAATGGTGATGCTGCAGAGGAAGAAGAAGAAGAGTGGCCGCCATTTAGAAAAGTAAGTTACAAACTAGCCTGTATCTTCAATAATGCTCAAATATCTTAGTCTGAAAATGCGAACACAATAGAATAAAATATTAAGAAAGAGGGGCAAAAGCTAAAATATTAAGACACTTAAATGACAGGACGTTTCAAACAGTCACAGGTGCATTTTCAGGTGCACAAACCATGATAATTAATCACACACGTGACTCCACCATTCACTCTTTTTTTACAATGAGGATTTTAGTAGTTTTCTCATAACGTTCGAAATTCAAATACAATGAAAGAAATCAACAAATTATTCAACTGAGGCTTTATTATGATTCTTATTCAAATTATTCTTTGTCCCTTTTCCAGGTTGGGTGTTTTGATCCTTACTCTGATGATCCTAGACTGGCAGTCAAGAAGGTTTCCCTCTGTGCTGTATCTGGAACACTGGCAGTTGCTGGAACATCTGGTCACATTATCATAGCTAAACTCTCGCTCACAGCAGCTGAAAATTCTAAAATCAAGGTGATCATTCATTTTGCAATTCATTTTCCCGTAGCAATGTGTAGTGAGTAGTTAAGAGTAAGTAACTTTATAGAGGCAGCTGTTTCCAACAAAAGCAGAATTATCGGAGTTCATCCGTATTATGGAAACAATATGAACTGATCACATAGCAACAAGAGCTTGTGTGAATAGCTGTAGTTTGAGACTCAAGGACTCGGCACTATTCCATCATCTTGTTGTTTATGAGATTACAACCAGAGGTTTATATTTTCAGATGATTTGAAAGAAATATTTCTTGGTTTATTCTTACAGGTACGGACTGTAAATTTGGTCAGTGATCGAGATTCATTTGTATGGAAAGGCCACGAAAAATTACCATTAAAAGGCAAATTGGAAGATGGAGCAACTACAATTTCGGTGGCACCTGGATTCCAACCGTGTTCAGTCTTACAGTTACACCCACCGGCAGCGATCACTGCACTAGCCCTCCACGCAGACTGGAATTTGGTCGCTGCAGGCACAGCTCATGGCCTAGCTATGTACAATTTTGCAACTCACTCCCCAGTATTAAGTAAATGTACTCTAAATCCAAATAGTAAGTATCATTCAACTTTAATGATATCAGCTGGTTTCTTTTAGAATAGCTGGACAAGCTGAGCTCATACCCCAGATGAAGGAAGAAAAAGACAAACAAGTAGAGAAAATCAGTCCTTATTTTGTCTCTTGCCAATGTATTTTTGTACTTTTGTTTATGTGTCCATGCCAGGCCCAAGAAATGTGCAAGTAGATGGCAGAATGTGATTGTAGTAAACTCCCATTACGAAAAATGACAACTTTGCCAATCCTATCTTTTGGCTGCATTTATAATATGCACTTCATGATTAGTTTTATGGCAGACTGGTTGGTAGTCTACATACCTCTTGGTAGAATTGTGAAAATATGTCATGGAGTGAACTGTTCCTTATGACTGCTCTGGCTCTAAACACTTATCCAAAAAATACACACGCGGGGAAAATGCACAGTGCATAGTTGTACTGCAATGTGACAGCAACTCATTCTGACAAATTAAAGGTTACATCAGGAAATCACCTTGATTATTACAGTCAGAGATAAAAAATTTGACAACAAGGTGTATCAGATGACTTGCTATTTCCAAATATGTAAAATGTCGCTCACCAAAGATCTGACAGAATTTTAGTCCTTAATCCATCTTCGTCAGTATCGAAAAACTCATCCGCCCAAAATGTTCGTGTTTTCATTGTGCTTTTGTTTGGTAGGTATAGCTTTGGCTGGTGATGCACCTATTTCTAGAAGAAAATCCTTCAAAAAATCTTTAAGGGAATCTTTTCGAAGGCTGCGAAAAGGCCGACATTCCATGAGGCAATCGCCCGAGAAACGGAAAATTCCTCCTCCTGTTAATCAAGTTCCTGTTGATAGAAGAAGGTAATAATATTTCCATATTTTAATTTTCATTATCGTGTCTGTTCATTTTCTCATTCTGACTCTAGAAAAATGGCATAACCCAAGAATCGAGGGAATCCAATCAGGGAATGAAAAATATCTGGAAAAATTGGGGAATATGTCAGGGAATTGATGTTAAAAACCGGGAATTTCTTCTCTCTGTACTCTAAAATCAATTAGCTTTAGAGTTAGTGGTCTGTTTTGACTTTATTTTGAAAAATCAGATAAAATAAGTATGGAAAGATTGATTTGTTCTTCCTGAACTTAGGAGAAAAATCTTGTTTTTCCATGAGAATCTAAAGAAAAACGAGAAAAAATCTGAAGTTCTCATCGTGGATTTTTTTTTAAAAATCAGAAAAATCAGGGAATGAAAACAAAAAATAGTCTTAGACATCTTTTCGTATGTTTCTAACTGAGGCACAAAGTTTTCTAATTCACTAATCATATAAGCCTGCAATATTAGCCCTAGTGTAGTGGAGTTTTTTACACTGTAATTTTGTTTTGTTTTGTTAGTGCTGAATCTGGTGGTATACAAGTAGTTCAAGTTGATTCAAAACCTGTTGAAAGAGCCATAGAAGCAAGGCCAGCCGATGATGGTTTTGGAAGTATGGTTCGGTGTCTTTATTTCGCAAATAGTTTTATAATAAGTAGTAAGTATTTGTGCTTGAATTATTTTCATTGAAAATAAACGATCCTGTAGTGGAGGTCAAATCTAACCTGTTTAATTTTAAATGCCAAGGAATTATGAAAAATATTTCACATCATGTATAGCTGTAAAGTCAGTAAAATTGGCAGCCGCAAAAATCCTGACTTTAACCTGAAGAACGATTTTTAAGTATGGTTTAGATTAAATTTTTATTTTGAAATTGAAACCTAAAAAAACCTGATGAAACATCGTAAAATTTAAGAGCTCATGTGTAAAACTTGCAAAAATTGCTCTGGATTTTGATCCCATAAAGTAACGAAAGCAAAAAGAAGCTCTGAGAAAAGTTCATTAATTTACATAGCTTGAGTTTCATATCCATATTTTGAAACTTAGATCAAAGCGTAGGAAGGATCTAACTTGATTGGCATAGTTCATTCTTAGGAGCCGAGCTATAATTCTGAGAGCGCAAGTTCAATTTTTTAGGCGCCAAGGACTATTTTTTAGTCGTTATCCCTAAATTTGTGCAGTTAGTTTCAAACATTGTCATATCTCTACTTTCATTTACTTTTTTTTCCAGTGCAACACTCAACCCCCATGCTGTGGGCTGGTACCAATAATGGTACTGTATATATTTTTACCATCACTTTACCTCCACGGGCAAGACGGAATGAAGACAAAGTATTGTGTCAACTTGGTAAGAACTTTATCGGTCTAAATGGACCCATGGTCGAACTTTTTATCTGTTTATGATACATGACAGCCTTAACCCTTCGACATCTATAGATAAGAATCTTTTACCCGCATAAAATTGCTGCCTGCACAAGCTATAAACAAGAATTTTTCATCTGGAGCTTTCAAACCGGACCTTTTTATAATAGGGCAAAAAGGTCATGAAGGTCTTGCGACACCTCTCGCAGAAGTTCAAAATTTCAGTAAAGTTGAGGTTATTTGTCCTACAATTATTTTTCATGTAGAGTACCAGAGTACCTATTATTCATGTATGTGTATCTTATCTTTTCAGGTAAAGAAATTCAGCTGAGGCATCGTGCTCCCGTAGTGGGTATTTCTATAGTGGATGGAGCCAATAAGCCTTTGCCTGAACCATTTGAAGTCGAAAAGGGCTTGTGCAAGCCTGTAGATGTATCTGCTCCTCATAGAGTTATTATAGGGTCTGAAGAACAATTTAAGGTAAAGTTTAGTCAATTTTTAATATTTTTATTTTTTCTCAGGATAATACCACCATTGCTTACAAAATCAGATCAAAGTCAATAGACTCTCAATAAGACTAAATACATTGACAAAGAATCAATCCAGCGGTGTAGAAACTTCCTAATCCCGCAACCATGATCGTTTGGCCACTTGCCTGAAAAAGTAGGAAGACCAGCTTGCAATGGCATGAAAATTTCACGTTTCCTCAAAAATCGCGGTGAAATTTGAATGTTTTTGTGAAAAGGTAAAATCCGAGTTTTTGTCGCATATAGAGGCAATCTGTGGATTGTCGATCAAAAGAAGGTCCTAGTTTTGAAAATTTTAATAATGGGAAGGTATTGGGTTCAGAACATTTGTATTTGAAAATTAAATAAATATTAGAGCTCTAACTGTACAGCTAGCTTGCAGCAAACATCTTCGCCCAAAAAAATATCTCAATACTTTCTATTTTTCAAACTCTTCACGAGCACTGCAATTTCAGAGAATGAGTAAATGCAGTAAAATTTTTAACATTTTATGTGTCTTGCAGATATTTGCTCTCCCGAGTTTGAAGCCATTGTGCAAACTAAAACTAACAGCTGTTGAAGGTGCTAGAGTTAGGAAGATGTCTTTAGCGTCATTTTCTACGCCACATCATGCTGAAACATGTCTGTTGTGTCTGACTAACCTTGGAGAGTGCATAGTATTCAGTGTACCAGAGCTGCGGCGGCAAATCAACGCAGCAGTAATTAGGAGAGAAGACATAAAGTAAGTACATCTTGTTACTTTCAAACTCACCAGTCAATCTTTGAAATTTTTGTCAGTGAAAATGTTTTGTAACAACTATCAATATAATGAATTTTTCCATTTGCAACCATTTCTACTGGTCCTGTCAAAATCCCTTCACTATAAAATTTTTTCCCCCAAAATAAAGTTGTCATAGGGAGCCTGGATTTAAATGAACGGTGGTTTTATCAGCCAGTGACAGAAAAAAAAGTTACTTTTCACCAAAAACGCAGGAGATATTCCCTATCCAATCTCATTGCAATAATGTCAGGAAACACTGTCCTGTCACATATGTTAAACATAATTCTCAGCCATTTGTGTATAACAGTTCGGGAAATACATACGTACCTAAGACTATGGAACTCTTGAACTGTAGTTCAAATTTAATTTTTTATTTCTCTCTGTTCTTAGTGGAATATCCAGTCTAGCATTTACAAGGCACGGTGAAGGACTATACCTACACTCAAGCAGCGAATTGCAGCGAGTTACACTCTCTGCTTCACGGATTACCGTTCCCCACTGCAGTTTAAAACTAGGCGTATCCAGTGAAGAAAATTCTCCCGTGAAAAACACTTCTCTCTCACCAGCACTCCCACCAGCCACTCCACCGCCAGTCATAACCAATGGAATTTCGGAAGATGATGGTGACGCCGATGAGGAGGACGAAGGTAATTTTTACTCTAAATCTAATGCATGCTGTTAAAATTCTCTTTTTACTACCAATATCATCAAAAATTTTCCAAGATTTTTTTATGGTTTATCTTTAAATTAAGTTTACAGTTTCATTGTACGATCCTTTTTTCAACATTTTTGTATTGGGCCTTACTGATATTGCCTAGTGGCATATTATGCAGTGCGTCTCTAGTATGAGGCAAAGCTACAATCTGAAAACTTTAGAGCTTATGCTTTTCTATTACGTATCAGTTTTTCTTTACTTAATTTTTCAATGCGCAAAATAGGAACTCTAAGTCAATAAGTTTGGTCATAACCAAGGCGGATAAAGAATGGTGGTCGCATTTCGTACCCTCTGGACGTCACACGGTATCGGGTACATCGGGTACATGAGCTGGCCGAGGCCGGGGGGGCAGACTCAACCTCGGATTGCACGGCATAACCCGTACCCTCCTGACGTCACAACGCTTCAAGATGGCAGCCAAAATCGAAATGCGACCACCATTCTTTATCCGCCTTGGGTCATAACTGTATCTCTAAAGGCAGGTACAGAAGTTTCAAAAATGTACAAACTTAATTATATATATAGAAGTGATTAAATCAATAGTTTGTTTAACCGCTGACCATCAATGAATGTTGCTTTTTTGTAAAGCTTCTTTGCTTTTTCATGTACAGACACTCACAGTGTGAGGGAATTAAGTCATTGTAGCAAGAAGAAAATCCCCGAACATGCTTGGATACATTCATTGCTAATGAGAACAATCTGGCACTCCTCCATCTGTCGGTCATTCTCAGTCTCATTTATTTTGTTCCAGATAAAAAAGAAATAAAAGAAAATGGCATAACGGACACTACTAGCAGCAGTCATGACCTGAGCTCTGTGGGTGATATCACAATCGATTCAGTTCGAGATCATTTGACAAAGTAAGTTCTAGCGTTTTAATCTATATTTTGCTCTCTACACATCAGTTTTTATACTTATTTTTCTCTCTCCTTAGTTTAATTGCATTTTCGTCTGATCCACCTGGGTTAGTTAACCCTGTACAAAAAAGAGATTCTCTTGTTCCTAAGATAATCATTATTACTGCTAAACCTGCGGGCCGATTTTTGAAATTTTGTGTTTGTCGGGCCGACATAGATGACATAGGTTAAATGGCGGAGCATGATTGGTTGGCTATGTCTTATCGCTGCTTTGTCGTGCCTTTGTCAGGTGGAATGGACGACATACTGTTGGAAACTCAAGAGGTGCTTTGCAGGCCTCTCGCAGAAATTCGCCTAATGTAATCTACTCTCTCTATCCATCGTTGAAGTTAACAAATCGGTACATTAGACCAATACTTGATATTAGTTGAATTAAACTTTAAAATTTCTAAGTTGTAGGTTAATATTTAACGCATCATATTTTTTTCCACTATTTCCCCAGCAAGAAAATGACCAGTTGATCTATGATCGGTGCCTTGAAAATTTCAATGAGAAACTTACAGTATTATTTTAATGAGTAACAACTTTTGTTCCTTCACTGGCCTCAAGTTACCATATCTAACTATGAATGCCATTGGTTCTAATCAACAATGATTTCTGTTTCAGCACCAGCCTATGAAATTGAACATTTTTGAAAATTGGAAAATTCTTTGATTCATAATCTTTTCTCCTTGATGGGTCGCTAAAATAGGAAACTGTCAAATTCCATGAGAGTGCATACGCCATAAAAACTGTTACTTAATTCATTTAAGCTGAAAGTGTAAAAACGTGTAAATATGTAAGAATCTCCTCAACTTAACGATAGGAAGTTCAATTTTCATAATTTCATCAAATCGACTGCCGCGCTGTTTTCCAACTCATTTCTTTTTTCATTTATCTCCGTCTTGCATTTAAATTGCAGTTATTAGTCATTTGAATTTCCCAATCATACGAAACATACCGTTTAGTTTTTATGCACATAATTCCTCGCTCATCACTATTTTTATCAGCCTTGGAAATGGTATTACCGTAAGTCATACTGATCTATTGGTCAGCTTGGCAGTCAGTGTGTCCATCATATGTTGGATGAATGAGTTCCAGAACCGATAATTTTTAACTTCTCAGTTCTACATTCTCAAAATGTCTCTCACTAGATCTCTTTGCCTGTATTATTTTTAGTATTCAGCTGTAAAAACTTGTCTTATCGATTATGAAACTCAATGTGCAATGTTCATCACTTGACGAGACTTCAACTCAAGGAATACTTAAATAAATTTTTGTACTTAAATATTTTTTATTTTTCTCTTTGCTCTTTATCTTTTGCTTAAGTCCTTAAGGTGTGAGAGTGTTTTATTAGTTTTAAGTAAGTAATCAAAATGGCTCCCTTAAAAAGTAGTAATGATAAGAAGACTCTCGCCTTCAGCTGGGAAGTAAGGAAAAATGAGCTGTACCCAGGTAGATCAGTATCACAAGCCAAGTTAAAAATTAAGTATTTTGATAAGTAGACCAAAAATGTTTTGACTAAGAACTCAAACACTTCATTTCTATAATCCCTTTTCATAATTGGATCGCATTTTGCAAAAAGGAAGCGGAAGCATTGCAACGATGCCAAGATTGTGCAGATTTTTATCCTATGTAACACAATAATGGTAATTTTTGTCTTAAATTTACAGTTTTTAGCGAGCAATTTAGAAACTGTTAATGGATAATCAGGTTTTTCTTCGAAGGCAAAAGAAGTTGCACAATCTTTGCATCATTGCAATGCTCCTGGTTCCCTTTCGCAAAATTCAATCCAATTATAATTGCGATATGGTGAGGAAACACCCCACTTGGAAGTAACTTTTCAAATGGCGTTCAAACATTTTTCAAGGATACTTAAAAACTGCTGGATTTTTATTACTCCTGCAGCCGATTGAGCCATGCTTCGTAAAAAGAAAAAGTCATTGACACGAAGCCCAGGTAAACAGAATAAAGAAATTTATTTTAGTTTTGTTGAAAAATTGCGTTTAGAAAATATAAATAAATAGAAATATAAATAAACAATATAAATATTAGAAATAATATAAATACTTTTCAGAGTAAAACAATCTTTACAAAAAACATTTGAGTTATGACTTGTGAAAATTTATTTACACAATATAAATGCAAAAAAATGGGAGCTAAACCTCACTTGCGACACATTAAACAACTATATATACATAAAAGTAATCTCAACCATAAAATTCGATTAGTCATTTTTCTAGCACTTAATTGCTTTTTATTCTAATAAAAGGCACATAACTTCCCAAAAGGAGAAACTTAATCTTACTTCTTCCACGGAGGAATAAAGTTAACAGTCCAGAGTCCACCAAAAATGAAAATAATCACCATTAAAATAGTAAATTTTGGAATTTGCTTTGATAGAGGAACACCGACTGACACAAATGAGCAATTTTAAATAAAAATTGAAAGGCCAATATAGACAGTGGAGAAAATCTTCACTTAAATTAATCGATATGATTAATGGGGTTCAGTCATAAAGAAAGAAGTCTGTCGAAAATATCACGACAAGCTCCTGCATGTAAACTACTACTTCTGATAAAATTGCTTCCAGAGCGATAAATCCTAATTTGATGATCCGTCAAAACACAGAATAAAATGTAAAATAATATTTTTAATGAGGAAGTATCAGTCAAAAATGGCTTGAGTCTCTTTCGTATCAACATATCAACGGTGAAACTCCCAAACCACATAACTCTTTTTCGGTGTTTTAAAATCTCTGCACCTATTTTATTTTGTCAGGGAAGAATAAATCAGCATAATTCTTTGAAATTTTCTCAGAGGTTTCCTCTCACAGAGAAGAAAAAAATCATGACAGTTTTGAAGAATCGCCTTTGAATAGTTTTCCAATTAAAAAATAAAGTATGACGGGAAGTCTGCAACGTCACAAACCGCGTTATGTGGCTTAGGAGTTTCACCACTGATATATAATGTGATTTATTAACTCATGGGCTTCAAAACTTTCACTACTTGAAGATAGCTATGGAAGAGAGATAGAAAATTGGTGTGGGCGGACATTCCTATGAAGGGTTTGTGGGGTGCTCTGCATCACCTCTAAGTCCAGCTTTTGCAAAGAGCTTCAGCTGTGGCAACAATGGATTAAAAAAAATCAATTTACTAATTTTGTTCTGCACTTATAAGGCATTAGGCAAAGTACGCTCAACTTTTTCTTCCTCAAGATGGAGTCATCTTTCTTCTGATTTGTTAGCCACTCTCTTTTTCAACTGGCATTCATTTGTCCGCCATCACTAATTTGTTCTGTACAATAAAATAAAATTGCCTATTTTTAACTTCCCTAAGTGCAGAAAAGCAAAATTAATACGGAAATTCTAGTGAATTGTTCTCCCAAAATTGATCAACAAGGCATTGCATCTCATAAGTTAATAAAAACTGAGGTTAGAACCTAAATTAGTGAGCATTTAACGAAGGAAAACAGAAAGAGGAAAAAAAACCTTGTTCATAGAAGACCTAGACTAGACAAATAAGCCAATATGTTTATTCAGTAATTACAACCTTTCAATTTTTGGTGTTGTGGCTCACATTTAACTTAGATTAACTGTCAAATTGATATTTTATTCTTGAAAGTTCATACCAAATCTATGAGAACAGCCTAAGTACACCTCTAAAACTGCAATTAGTACGGTTATCCAGATTTGATTAATGTTGCAACTTATTCAATTAATTAGACATGATTCCTCATTATCCTTTAGTGCACCCTACGAAAAAGTGACAAGGTGCAACGATAAATTGTAGGCTATTAAGACAAATGCATCACAATATGGGTTTCAACTAAAAAGTAGGTGGTGGGGCAACAAAAATATTGGTGCAGAGAGGGATCAAATGACATAACATGGTGATTTCAATTATTCTGAAACGTTTTGCGAGAGAGGCACTCTTGATGAACAGCAAATTTGTATGCGTTCTTTGGGACAAAATGCATAACGGAAGTGTTAACACTTCATAAGTAAAATGATGAGTTTGGAGTCTCTTTTAGAGACAATTAACAGTTTCATTGTCATTGCATCACAGTCAACATAGACAAAGCCCTGCAACAACTGAATGTATTTTTAACAGTTACAAATGAGAAACAAGTTTACAGATCTCAAATATTAGAGATTACCTAAATGTGCATTGCTGATATCCGAACCTGTAGGATTGATTCCCATAAAAACTCAAAAACTTTGTAATTAAGTCGTCACATGGATTCTGTTTATTGCTCTTGGGGGCGGCAATGAAAAAAAGATTTATTTCAGATGTCGATTTCCTTGGCATAAACAGGGAACTTGAATTGATTTTGAAAAAATAATTTAGAACTGAAAAGTATTTATCACTTAAGAGGATAGAATCCATTAAAATGAAGCCATGTTTGTTCCATCTAAGTCCAGACTTGGGAATGATAACAGTAATCTCTTCTTTTTTTGATTTCTACTCAATGAGGATCCAGATACTAAGAAAGGTGGATTTTTCTTGCTGTCTAAAGAATGTAGTTGGCTATTAAGAGAAACCAAATTAGCTTATTTGCTTTTCTCCAAAAATGGTCAGTCCCTGACTGCATACAACTATCATAATACATTCAGCTGTCTTGGAACTTTCTGGTCATCCAACACACTTGTTAAATGAATTAGTGAGAGTACATACGTTTAGGCCAATTAAGTTTAAAGGAAGAAAATTAAGCTCTTAAATTATAAGAGGTATGAGCACATTCTGACATCCAGAATTCTGCCAATTTAAAGGCTAAGGACAAATCCTCTGTCTTATGGTTTTAAGCAGTCTTTCAAGCACTGCAGGAAAATGAAAAAAAAAAATCTGCATTATTCCTTTCTGCAGAGAAATTTTCTTAGGTTAGACACATTTCATTAGTGGCAAAAGAGAGAAAGAGAGAGAGAAAAAAAGAAACAATAATTGCACAGTTTGGGTAACATTGCATAAAATCTTGGCAATGTTGCAGTAAACTTACATAACTATCCCTCTGAGAGGCTCAATAGAAACTTGTATGGGTTTCAGAGGCTAAACTGCTGAGGCTACAGCAGATGCAGTTTCTACTTGCTCAGTAGATCCTGTTTCTGGAAATTCCGTTTCAGCTAAATTCGATGAGACTGAAGTTTGACTCAAGTCTGACTGAACTTCCTTCCTGAAAAGGTGAGTAAAAAAATACTTTGTTATTATCTTAGCATATAAGGATCTTAATTCACCAATGATCACAATTAATTCTGTAAAACCTTGTTATGAAGACCTTCGATTTAGCAACAGTTTTTGTCAATCCTGTTACGGTCTCAGTAGTAACAATGCATTTTTGTTTTGAAATAACATAGTAGCAAGCCCAGATTTGATTTAACAATGCTTATGTTGGGCGGTGACGGAAAAGAGAGAACTTCTTGCAGAGAATATGGGGGAAAATCCAAAACCAATCTTATCAAACTGATGTTCAGAATCAAACGTAATGCCAGCACTTGTGTTCAATACGGTCCTCAGCCCTGTGCCATGGCGAACAGGGTCAGGAGTGCCCCAAAAATTCCTGAGACATAACTATCTTGCCACAAGCTTGCTTGCTGTGCTTATTGACTGAAATAAAATCTTGGTGGCTGAGACAATGCTGTTTCTGGATAAAATTAAGGCATGAGTATTGAGCTTCAAAACAATATATGAATGTACTTTACAAATTGATACTTTACAAATCCGAGAAAATGTAGAGTTTATTTGAGAGCCTCTAAAAGGACGGAGAAAATCCATAAGGTTTTGTAAATAACTCATGTTGTATAAAAAAAAAAAAATGGTGAACAGACTCAGGTGGATTTTGGAGTGAAGGTAATCCGAGTCCTCTTAGCATTCAGCTCTCCCAAAATATCTGCCATGGTATGATCAATACCAATAAAACTTCCAAAATAAAGTCTGCCTGGGTCCGAAATCAGATACACTTGTAGTTGTACTTCCTGTACTTTCGTTACTCTTACCACCCCTGTTCTTCCATTTGAAAACAATGAATAAATATGGACTTAAAAAAACTTACTTGGCGAGATGATCTCTGACAGAATCTATAGTTATCGAGCTCACATCCTGACTGCTGATGGTGGTGTCAGTTATGCCATTCTCTTTAATTTCTTTTTTATCTGAAAATAATAAAAAATTCAATAGAAAATTTACTCCTAAAAATCATATAATTCTCATACACCAGCAGACTTTTTCCCATTTTTTCAATGAAAAAAATAGTTAGAAAAGTTAGATAATTCAAATGAACGAAATGAATGGAAAATCAAGCAGCCCATACCTAATTCAGCTTGACCCTCGAATACCTGTCAAGATAAAGTCTCTTTTTTCTCCTCTGTGTCATGTCCTAGGCCAAACTAAATCTGCCAAAGGGCCTACTTAAGTACCCCTAAATACTAAATAAAGACAGAATTGAAAGAATAATATGTGGATGCAAGGAAGTTATACCATCAGTTTTTTCTTGTCCGTTTTCAGTAGGTTGCGTCTCCTCATCTTCTTCTTCCTCTAGTTCATCCTCTTCAGGGATCCCATTGGAAATCACAGCTAGTGGCGCCTTGAGAGAGGGGCTTGTTGAGGCTATGGGTGTGGGTTCTTTCTTTTCAGGAGAGCTTGACTCTTTTGAAATGCTGGGCAAATTCAGAGTGCAGTGGGGTACTGTGATCCGCGAGGCGGAAACCGTAATACGCTGCAACTCACTGCTTGAATGTAGGTACAACCCTTCGCCATGTCTTGTAAATGCTAAGCTAGATATACCACTGAAAGAGAGAGGAATACAAAAATATTAGCAGGAGTTAAGAATGTGAGAAGGAAGAAAAATATCAACAGCCGAAACCTTGTATTGCCATTTGCAATGTTGCAGACTTCCAGCGATACTTTTTTTTCCCCTTGGAAAACTAGTTGACATGATTTTTTCAAAACTACTTTCATTTTCCTTCTCTGTAAGCTTTATATTCTGTCTTGAGTTTAAGTTATAAGGCTAGGTTGTTCCTTTTGGAAAAATAAAAAATACCTAGGGGCAGAAATTTAAAATATTGCAATGTGTATACATTGTACCAGACTTTGCCTATCAATATGTAGATTTAGAGAAAACTGAAAACTTATTCTTCATGCTTTTGTTCGAGTGAAATATTTTGTAAAAATAATATTGATACAGAATGGAGAAAAGCTTACCAAGTCAACATTTCAAAACAATATTAAGTTGTAGCAACTCATAATTCACAAATTAGGGGAAAATAATAATTTGCAAGCGGCGTAAAAATTGAAGGGGAAAAAAACACTCTAGTTTCAACTAAAAATTGACAGAGTTGAAATTAAGGTTACTCACTTTATGTCCTCTCTTCTGATGACTGCTGCGTTAATTTGCCGTCGCAAATCAGGAATACTGAAAACTATACACTCGCCGAGATTAGTGAGACATAGGAGGCAAGTTTCACCGTTAGGCAGATGAGCGGCCATGCTTGACGAGTATGAGAATGACGCTAAGGACATTTTTCGTATTCTAGCCCCTTCAACCGCTGTCAGTTTCAACTTGCACAAGGGTTTCAAATTCGGAAGGGTGAAAATCTGAAATGAGGGAAATGACAATGAAATTAGAAAAATGACATGATTTTGAGCATATGGGTCGCTTTTTATTTCATGAAATTTGCTCCTAAATTTTAGTAAGAAAAAATAGTGTACAAATGGTATTTTGAGTCAGGATTGATTAGCTGTTGTGGGTGACTGACAGATTAGCTTGATGCTTGGGCTCTTTTCTAAAGAAAAGCAAACGTCAGATGCTCATTCATGGCTTTAGGAGACGAGTTTTGCTTGTACCATTGCGCCATATAATGTATTGATACCTACATGAAACCAATCAGTTACTGTCTCATTACTAATTTTTTGCCACGTTTGCCCTTTTAAAAATAGTATGTACGTTCAATGCTTCAATTTAATGAATTTGTGCTTTAACTAAGGCTGAGAGTACATATAACGAATTTTCAGATACATCTATGCTCCTCTTAATTTAAATGAAGCAAAATATGCTGGAATTATCAAAAAACTTTTGTCCAGCACTTGAACAAATCAGAAATTTTTAGACGGCAAATGATTGCTGGAGTTTACCTTGAACTGTTCCTCAGATCCAATGATCACACGATGAGGAGCAGTAATGTCCACAGGTTTGCACAGACCCTTTTCAACTTCAAAAGGCTCTGGCAAAGGCCTGCAAGCTCCATCTACAATCGAAATGCCTATAACTGGTGCTCGATGTCGTAGCTGGATCTCTTTACCTATAAAAAATATGAAACAAAATAATTTTAAAACAAGATCAGTAAAGAGAAATTGGTTTTGGTGCCTAAGAATTAGAGTTGGGCCGGGTATCCGGCGATTATCCGGCCGGATACGATTTTCGCGAGTATCCGGATCCGGCCGGATAATCGCGCTATCCGATTTTTGGACCCGCCGAATAGTGCTTTTTTGGCCCTGAAAATTTCGATAAATTTTTGGTGATATTCTTTCTTTTTTCTTCCCTATCGATACAATTTTCTGTATTTTTTCCTGAAACTTTTGACTTTTTTTCTTCTCCTTCAATACAGCTCTGTTTATTTTTTTTCTTTCAACATGAATTACCGGAATAACGCACATGTTCTGCTAATTGACGCGATCGCAACGTAAATTCCTTAAGTCCGCGACCCGCGTGTTTCACTTTCATAGGTGCAGGTGGAAAGGAGAATAACAAACAACAACGCCACCAACATATGCATAATTCCCCGTTTTTAGTCGGTGCAAAACTCCGCATTCATCGTAGTGTCGCAGCACGCTGTTTGTTTCGGTAATATCGAAACGAAGGCCAATTAAGTTTGTGATCGGTTGAAACATCCATTTCTCTCGTTCATTTAGAGATTCTCATCAACAGAAATTGACCGAATAATTTTCCATCAAGACAGGCTTTGATTTGCTGTGACTTTGGATTGGCATGGGGCGGCGGTGCTTTCAAAAGTGTCAGATTGGCAGCGCTGTTTTCCACTTTTGTTTTGTTTACATTTCTGACTTCTGATAACACCCTCCTGCTGAACATATGAGCACAGCTGCGAAAAGCTAGAAACTGCCTTGCTATATTTATGACACATATTATTTGTCAACCATGATTTTTGTACTATTGCAAT